TTCATCCCCCTCGCGAGATCCGAGGTCGGTAAGGCAATCTCAGTCGTCATCGTCGTCGAGGCGAGACGGCCGCCTTGGAATTGCCATAATTGGCAATCCGGCCCAATTACCTCGGCCCCTTGTCGCCCGGAAAGATTTCGCGATACTCAAAGAATTTTAACGAATTCCACCATTGCTATTCACAGATATTAAACCATTTGCGTCGTACTATAATTATTATGAGCAAAATTAATACAATTGTTCGTATAATAATTAATAGTTAATTTTTAACAGAATATTTCACATGAGTGGAATGGACCTGGCTCGCGAATTGGAATCGAGGTCGTACGTTCGAAATTGCGCACTTGTTGATTTTTGACGGGGGCAATTTCCCTCTGAAATAGGTACGGTAGTACGGCTTATGACGAACGCTCTCGTGTGTACATCAGTCAGGAAACGTCCGTTTGAGAAATGCGACGCGTTCCTTTCGTGAGCTTAGCAAATGGGAGCAGTGCCGACAGAAATGCGGGATTAGGCTCGGCTGTCTGCGAGAAATTCGTTCCGCTAAAACGTAACACCGGTCTAATACGAGCCTGGAAAATAAGGGAGGATTTAATTTTGCAAAGAAGAACGAGCTGTATAGAAACGTTTCTGAAAGAACGCAATGTAACGTCAATAGCACTGAATAGGGGAGTGCGTGGTATACTTTTTAAACAATGGAGAGCAATTGGAATAATTGAGCGTCGTATCGATCTTTTGGTCGTTCTGTTCCGAGAAATCAGATGTACACTCGTACAGTATAACGGATCATTAATCAAGTAATTACAATCTGATGTTATTAGTTAATGAATACCGCAGGCAATTATTCGCGGTACCTTTGCATTGTGTCCATTTACCGTTATCGTATCCGATACCACTATTTGTATTCTATTCCGTTCCGGGCTACAGATAAATGCCTCACTATTTATCAGTAGCCGTATATGTCTATGTATATGGGCGTGACGCTGTCAAAGAACTGGAACTGACCTACATGCCTCACAGTCATTACGTTTCCATTCGCGACGTCGAATTGTTTCGAACGTTTTTTCAACAATTTCTAGTTCACCATTTTTTGTCCTTTATCGGGGGTGTACATATAAAAAAGTTTTGATAGGTCTGCGCGAGTCTCATTGTCACAGAACGAAATGAAAAAATGAAACAGTTTGAGCTCTGGAGATTTTTTATTATTATTTTTATCTGCATCACGCGTTGTCTAGAACCTTGTCGAGCGATTAATCTGATATTTTCAAGGGGTTGAACTTCGTTAAGAGACGATAATTTCCCGTTGCTCATAAATATACATATAGAACGTGTGATAAAAGTTTCGAGAGTCGAAAAGATGATGACACAATTAGCGGCTGGTAACTTCCGCGAAAATCCATTTAACACGGAAAAGGAAATTAAATTGCTGGCTACGTCCCAACACTCGGGGCTCGACCCATCTACCCCCTCTAGGCGGGGGTCACTGTTGCATCTGCAGTCGCTTTTGCATTTTCTTTTCAAACTTCTTCCCGTGCTTATCGAATTTATCAAGCATCCCGTTTAAAAACTTTACCCGGTCTGCTCTGGATCACTTACCATAGAAGGAACGAAATTGAAAAATGGGGAGAAAAATTGAATTCACGTCTAGTTCTTATTATAATTTCATTCAATCATAAATTCGATATTTCTGAGTGATTCAGTGTGATGTGCATTTTATTTATATTAAATATTAACCTGATTGCATCGTGCTGGCCATAGATACTATAATAAACATTTATACAACATTGCATATGTTTGATACAATAATTGGTATAATACTGCGATTTAAAGTGATCAATTATTTACTGGTTTGAATAAATTAAACTTTCTATGCATTTATGATAAATGTAATGGGTTAAATGTTTGTTTGCAATTTAATTTTGTAATTAAATCGCGATGAATCCATAACACTTAAAAAATTGAAGGTAAGGATAGGAAGGACGAAATTGAAGAATGGGAAGAAAATTTGAATTCTCGTCTATCTGTTATTATAATTTCATTGAATCATAAATTCGATCCTTCAGAATAAATTATGCAGTACGTCATCATGATTTGCATTTCATTTATAGTAAATGTCAACCTGATTGCATCATGCTAGCCATAGATACTATAATAAGTATTTCATACAATGTAAAATTTTATATATAAAGAACGTTTCACGTAATGCTTTGAGATTGAGAGCTCTTATGTCGGATAAAGGTGAAAGAGTCCGCGAAAAATAAAGAGTGCACAGTGTGATGGTCGTGAATCGCGTTTATTCGCTCGTTCTTATTGTATACTTGCTACGGTCAGTTAAAACTACTTGCGATATCTGAGTTATATAAAAAGAGTAGAACACGATAAAAGAGCTGGGAACGAGATGTGGTCGTTTATATAATAATTGATATAACTAACTGTGATTTAAAGTGAACAATTATTTACTGATTTGGCTAAATTAAACTTTCTATGCATTTATGATAAGACATTGCTGATAATGACCATAATGACCAGAAATATTGTGAATGATACAAATGGGTTAAACTTTTGTTTGCAATTTAATTTTGTAACTAAACTGTGGTGAATCCATAATACTTGGAAAATTGAAGGTTGCGGTTATGATGAGGCGATTATGCGAAGAGAATGAAACCGCGCCGGAGAAATTGAATTCTTGACGGTATAGAGAGGGGAAGAGAGATTATCGTTGCGTTCAGAAATTGCTTGTATCCACAAATTTACCAAGTCCCTTCAAAGCTAGCGACAAAAAAATGTTAAAAAAAATAGCGAGTGCAGATTATATTGCGCTGTTATCCTGCAATAAATGTCCCGGGCGAATTTGCTGAACGCCAATAAACGAAATTGCGCTTTTAGAGTGAACTTCGTACCTGTAAATTGTTATCTCGACTTCGTTGGAGTCGTTCGTTGGAAAATGGGAAAAATTAAGAGAATGGCGTTTTGTAGAAAGTTTCTTGGTTGCAACCGATGCACGGGAGCAAAGGAATCGAGAGAGAGAGGGACAAAGAGAGAGAGAGAGAGAGAGAGAAAGTAACTCTGTGCCAGCATCGGGTCGTTATTGCTAGTTAGACGCTGTCTGCTCTTGGGACAAGTGCTTCTTCTCCTGTTTATGAAAGTTAGAGAAACGATTTTAAAGAACCGGCAAGGGAGAATTAATTTTCATTCAATTGTATTCGTAGTTTAATTCGAAGTTAATCTTAACTTTTGAAAGCTGCCGAGGTAACTGTGAAACGGAGGCAGATTGATAACGAAAAAAAAATGGTTTCAATATTTACCGTCGCGTTTAATTACTTTTCCCATCGCGTATTTTATTTATTCCCGTTTTATTTCTATTCCCTTTGTACTTTCATTACTCATTGCAATTAGCTTACGCGCATATGTTACACGTGCCACCGGCCTCCCGTTATTATTTTCCCCCCTTCGTTTTTTATATTGTGTACCACGCGTACACGTTTAATTGCAACATTGCCAGCAGAAATGAATTCGCTTGAAACCTCAATAAAAGTTTTTCGTGTCAAAATGTCTGACCTAGAAGCAGCATTCTGACGAGAAGAAATTCGTACCGTGCATCGCGTCGCGTAAAAAAAAATTCTATTGTAAATTCAGCCAATTTCGAACATCTCTTTGATATATCAATTCAATGTGCAACGTAAATGAAGATAGTAATTTGTAGAAATGATCATAAGAGAGAGAGAGAGAAAGTAACTCTGTGCCAGCATCGGGTCGTTATTGCTAGTTAGACGCTGTCTGCTCTTGGGACAAGTGCTTCTTCTCCTGTTTATGAAAGTTAGAGAAACGATTTTAAAGAACCGGCAAGGGAGAATTAATTTTCATTCAATTGTATTCGTAGTTTAATTCGAAGTTAATCTTAACTTTTGAAAGCTGCCGAGGTAACTGTGAAACGGAGGCAGATTGATAACGAAAAAAAAATGGTTTCAATATTTACCGTCGCGTTTAATTACTTTTCCCATCGCGTATTTTATTTATTCCCGTTTTATTTCTATTCCCTTTGTACTTTCATTACTCATTGCAATTAGCTTACGCGCATATGTTACACGTGCCACCGGCCTCCCGTTATTATTTTCCCCCCTTCGTTTTTTATATTGTGTACCACGCGTACACGTTTAATTGCAACATTGCCAGCAGAAATGAATTCGCTTGAAACCTCAATAAAAGTTTTTCGTGTCAAAATGTCTGACCTAGAAGCAGCATTCTGACGAGAAGAAATTCGTACCGTGCATCGCGTCGCGTAAAAAAAAATTCTATTGTAAATTCAGCCAATTTCGAACATCTCTTTGATATATCAATTCAATGTGCAACGTAAATGAAGATAGTAATTTGTAGAAATGATCATATATTCATTCAAATAATCGATATTACATGGTTACAGTTGTACCTTAAAACTAAATTCAAACTTCTTCAATCTCTTTATTACTTATCATTTGATTTTGACCAAAAAGAAAAAATGATTGTAAATAAATTTTCACTTTATTTGAATTCGCAGATATATATTACAAAAACCAATCTTCTGTGCCACCACAGGTCGTGTTCTTTTTTTTTTTCTTTTTTTAGCAATTCTCTCGTTCTTTCTGCCGATTCGTCGGTACACGGGGGAACTCATATCACGCTCGGAGAAACTATTTTCGCGCGCGTCGAGGGTTAATTAACGTCACGTCGAACATAGGTAGGAGCCGCTCTCGTTCTTCGACCTGATTCGCGTTAACTTCCTTCTCATGTCTCTCAGGTACCCGCGTCCGTTCAAATCCCGAGATACTGTTATTTATGGCCGTATTCTTCAATTTGTTTCGGCCACTGTTTACGAAACACTCGCCCTGTCACTTTATTCGATAGAAAAACAGGCAGTGTTTTAGAAAGTTTTCACCATTACATAGACATTTCGTTGGTTGTTAATGAATTTCATTTCGTGCTGTTTCATAAAATATATGTATGTGCTCAATATTTCATTTGCCATTTAGTAATAATAAGTAATTATGTATACTGTGTCTTAATTATCATAATTTATTCACTAATTAAATCAATTTGATGATATTAGGTAATACTATTACATTACACCACGTTTGATGATAAACATTGATTAACATTAAACATTATTGATATAAACATATATTATAAAAAATAACAGGTATATCCACATATTTTTGAGGATCAATATTTTGTTAGGAACTGGAAACGAGTCCCAAAAATAGAATTTTAAAAAATAATTTTGAATGCCTTTTAGTTGCCTGTCATTTTCTCATTTAAGCCACATTGACTTGGAGTTTCTTGTGTACTTCATTCTCTGAAGTGCGAACTATGTACATAACATCGTTGTACCGTGTTACTCCAATTTTCCTTCATCTCATTTATCTTCGCTATTGAGATTTCCCTCCGATTGATCTCGGGCTTCATAAAAGCATAGCTCCCGTGTTAACAGCCACGCGATTCTCTACTAATTTCAACTTTTCCTTCGTTTATCTACCCTGTTTCGTTCCTGCATATTTTATCGTTCATCAACAAGCAACTTCTGTTTTGTTTCTGAAGTTGGTTATTGAATCACATTCTTCAGTTTAATGAATGAACATCAAAACCAAACATCTTGCCATTTGCTTGAACATCTTATTGTGAAAACTTGTAACCATTTTCCAATTCATTTATGAAAATCGTGAATCAAATGACACAACAGTATAATATGTACAATTTTAATGTATTATGTACAATCTAATAGCATAATCAAATCAGATATATTATTCATGGTTAATAAAAAATCCATTTAACTCCGTTCAACAACAATCTGTATATTTCTCTGGATTATTTAATATTCACGGAGTGAAATCATTCCACACATACATACATACATACGTACATACATCCAAGCATTGAAGTCACGAGATTAGAATGTCTCGTTCACGATAGGTTGTTCATTTGATCCTTTCCGACTCCGTAATTTCGCTGATGGAACTGTAGTGGGTTAGTGTGAAGATGTTCTTTTTTTTTTTACGCAAAATCACTGATGAATCGACGCGACGCAGTCTGTCTCGAGGGGCGTATCTCTCCATGGATTCATCCGAGGCTCACAAAACGATTCCAGTCGAACTCTTTGTGTACCTTCGTTTCCTTTCCAACAACAAGTATGCTTTGGACTTTTCATTCCACTGTGTCTGTACGACCGTGTGCTGTTCATTTCCGGGAAGATTGTGCCTGATTAAATGAGACATGTGTCGATGAACTTACATAGTTTAGATTTTTGGAATTAGTAAAGAATCGCATATAAGTACATACAAAATAAATCGTTAATATTGAATACAGGAGAAGTTTCATTTTCTGTGTAGTGATACTTGAATGAATAATTTGCTGTATCGGTCTCAACAAATATGTCTTCACTTTTTGCAGACTACAAATTCATTTTAAGCTTTTAACAGTTTTAACACTTTTATTATGTATAGAAGAATTTAGGAAGTGTAATTTGAATCGTGGATGGTATGTTTAGTATTAAATGACTAAACGTCTTTCAAGTTTTTGATCTTTTCTCATGTTTCAATCCTGCTCAAACATTTATTTGATGATTTTAAAAGATCCGAGATAAGGACTTTGAAGTTGTATCCACATTTTCAATGATTCAAGGCGAACGTGCGAGTAGGAATATAGACCGTTGATTAAAAATCCGTTTCTACTTCTTCCCTGTTGCTGCGTCGCGTCGCGCTGAAGGGAAATTCGTAAGTAATCAATGCTAAGGATAGATTCTAGTGATCATCCAACCAAGTTGAATATCCCGCATCCAGAGCTACATTCGACCGACTTACTTTCCCCTTCATCGTCTAATGCGAATTGATTCTCGCATATTAACGGTACAATGCGAAATATCACGTCCTTCCCTTTTTCTTTTTAAGGTAATCTATCCTTTATTTGAGCTAAATCCTTTTAACTTCATGGAACGTATTAATTCTTGATTTATAAAACTGGTCGATAGTCTGTTCGCATATTATTTACTACCTTTGATAAATTTTTACACAGAATAATCGATCAGTATTTCTTTTAACTGAATAGAAATATTATTAGGAGTTTTAAATTAATCTTAATGAATATCAGAGGATCGAAGTTAATCTCGTGACACGCGTATCCATCTATCGATCCGAAAGATCGCTTTCACAGAAAACATTTCAGTTTAACACAAAGCGTGACCGATAACAATAATTACGTTCAACGGTCGGTTATTATGAAGAAATTGATCGAGGCTTTGATAAAGGATCGCGGAACGTACACACACTTTGAGATAATTGCAGGTCGTTTAACCAATGGTCGAATAACCATAATATTTCCTTTCTAGATGACTGTTTTTCTTTAGCTGAAAATCGATAATAAAAATTTTAGCGCAGCCGTTTTGTAGGAAGATTTATTGTTAATTTGTGAAACTGATGAAATATTCTTTTTACATCAGAATTTTTTTTAAATGACTGTATGAATGAATTAGTATGAAAAGAAAATTGTCTTGGAGATATGAGAGAGGAATTTCGGGAGATAATTGTATGAGGCCAACGCCAGTGATCTTTCGTTCCAGCCAGTTTAATAAAAAAAGGTGTCCCTCTAAAGAACGTCATGGTTTTATAAGGTAATAAACCGTAATGTAGTGCTTAACACCTAAGGGAGACACCTTTGGCACATAAATTCTTCTCTAGTTCCCTCGCCTTTTTTCCGCGTTACATTCCTTCATAAAACAAACATCACTATATACATTATCCATCTTTATTAACAAAATCAACAACCAAGACGCGATCACGCATTCCCTTAAATACTATGCAACAATTAATTGTTTCTCGTCGTGAACAATAACATCGCACTGGGATTTATTAATGATCATTGGCGATCATCACGATTATTCAGAGTCGAATATAGTTTGAAAAATCGCAGAACATTTAGCAAAAACAATTTCTGATTCTAATACGGCCCTCGTTTTCGTGGCGGAACGGTTAGCGTCTATTTACAAGCTTTTAACGTCGGTTGTGAATCAACTAGTTCGCGTGTTTTATGTATGTACACTAGATACATCGGGCGAAGTAACGCTAGTCGCTCGTCATTATTCGTTAGAACCTCGCCTCTACTAACGTGTAAGCGTACTGTCTTCCCTCGCGTTTCTTCGGGGATTTTACCTGTTTCACCCGATCAATCGCCGGCTTTCGCTCCCACGCGAATTTTTATTTATGCCTTGTCCCTACGACTGAGGTTTGTTTCATTTCCATCATTCATGTAAATCGTCGAGACAAAATTCCGACGAACCTTATGCGGTTTTATAAATTCTTATAGTCAGATGAAATAGTTTTGTAAGTGATTTGAGAATTTAAGTGCGAGCGACGTTGCTTAAATTATTTGATGAAATTCTGTTTAAGAAAAAGTCATATTTGACAGGGAAATGGAATTCTATCAAAGAAATGAAGTTTGCGTTTGACCAATCTACTGGTACTTAAATCGATTACTTACTTATTACTATGGATAGCTGTTGGATATTCGTCAAACAATTGCAAAAGCATTATGTCCACAAGGGATTAAGCTAAGAGCTTCCATTATTCCATGGCTTATCTGGCTCTACGTGCTTCTTTGAACTAGGTCCGCTATTTAGTTATTTAAATCGTTTTGCGAGAGCGTATCTAAAATTAATAGTCAAGTTCCATTTATAAGATTCGTTTAATTCTGTAGAATCATCTTAATTCGATAAAGTTCAATTAATTTTATTCTGTGGAAGTTCGAAAGAGTCGGTCTTGTCGCTCTTTTTCATCTTTTGGAGTTCCCTTTTTTTTTTTTTTATTGTTGAATCTTAAAGTGCAGCTTTACAATATCCTCGTTAAATGTAGTAATCGCTGTTGGAGTAGTTGAACGAGAAATTCGCTTCACCCCCCTCGGGACTCTAATTTCTACATCTTCTCTTTATTCGGGCAATTTCTAATATTTAATAGTGCTTCCATCTGTTTGTTCCGGGATATAAATCCTACAGAGCTCTGCTGGAACGAAGTTTAAACATCGGATCAAATTTGCAAAGTGATCGTCAACATGTTTAAAGAGTTGCCAAGTCACATTGTATACTTAATTAACATTCTTCATTGAAGATCCTCTTTTATATCTCAGCTGTTTTATGTACGTCGAACACAGGTATATTTGACATTTAAAAATATTTGCTGGATGAAACTCGCGTGAACTGTTACATCCGATGATTTTGTGAACGCGCTGTTTCACAAACTTTAATATTTACATTTAATTAAACACGCCGGCGGGATAATGGAAAAATTAATATTTATTTTCAAACGTCACGCTTCACGCGTATTTACTTTGCGCGATTAAAGTTTGTATGCGTGTATTAATCACTGCAGACTGAGCCTGTTGGATTTCATCATCCCGCTTTGAATCACGGATGCGCCAGTCAATTTTTAGCAGCCTAATTCGAAATTGCAAAATCCCCGAAGTATATTTATAAACATTAATCTATGTATACTTACGAGTTATGCGATCAACAAATTACTTTTTAAAGTTATTTATTTACGAACATTATTTTAATGGGATAAACATCTTCATAGCTCGCGGCTAGACGTGAATTAAAAACAGTTATTTTTTAAAAAGAATATCATTTCTTTCTTGAGAGAGATTTAATGTGAAACCTTTGTAAGTTTTTAAATATCTGGGAATAATTTGCCATGTCGCGCGTAATTATGTTACTAGCACAATGCCGGAGTCGCAGATAATTTAGTTTTTTATAATTCATCTACTGTTTTTAAAAAATATACATTAGAATTTTTAGTTGTTTTTTGTAGTTTAAAAGAGCACGTCTATGCAATTTGTTTTTCTATCTTCATTTCCGATAATTTTTTGTTGGTTCACCTTTCACCTTTCTTCTCTTTCTCCAAAGCACACTTTCTTTTTTTCCTCTCCTAATTTCTTGTCTTTCATCTCCTGAATTATTATATTTCCTCTTGAACCATTATCTCGACTTTTGTTTTCTTGATTGCAGTATTTTAATAATCATTTCATCTACCATACCGCCTTCGTTTCTTTGTTTTATGTAATTATCAATTTTCCGTTCAGTATTTTAATTCTCATTATTCACGATGACACTTGTTTCATCTCCTCTTCCTGGTTTTTATTCGAGATCAAAAGCTGAGCTGAAATTTCAACGCTAGGACGGGTTACCTCTGTTATTTATTTACAGCGTGACCGCGTTAATCATTCCATTCTCGCGTAATTCTTGCGGTGATTAATTTCAACCCTCTGATGAGCCGTTTAACGAATCCTCCCTGCCCTAGTACAATTTGCGATTCACCATTTATTCATCTTTCTCCACTCATCGCTGCTACAGTGATATAATTGTTAATTGCATTTCGGAATTGAAACTGTGCACTCCAAACGACCATAGGAAATTCTTAAAATTGTGACATTTCTCTTTTAAAGCTGGAATTATGTACTTTTTATATGAAGCATTTTAATATTTGCATTATAATAATAGAATTTATTTATTTATTTATTTAAATTGCTGATAGCGCGTTATCTATTTGTAAACAAAATTGGAAATTGAAAATCCTATTTAATTATGGAATGAATAATCAGTTCCAAATTAATTTCGATGCTTGATTAATTCCTTACAAGAATGAATACGCTCGTTAACAAGCAGTTCGGTAAAGCGTTAGCAGTTTCAGCGAACATTTTCGATAAATATCGAATCGCAATGATGGGAGGAACGAGGTCTCCCATTCGCAATTGCAATCGAGTTCGGGATTAGTGGTAGGGATTTCCTGGTTCCGGGGGTTCTGCTCTCACAATCTTCACGTGAATCTCTCAGGTATCCCCACTGCTCTTTCTCTCTCGAAGATTAACGCTCGCACGTAACCACTGGTTCCTGTCTGAGCCTCTCTCGCCACACAATTTTCACCCACGTTTCTCATTCACTCGGTCACGCCCACGCGTACTATTTTTATTCAATTTCATTCGGAACAGCTTCTTAACAGTAATAGTTCTCAACAAGTATTTCTGTACAAGCTTGCGAGGAAAGTGAAATCGTCAAAGCTGCTTGCTTCGTTTTTTAATTAAATGCAATTTTAAAAAATAATAATTGCACACTTGTATACGATGCTTGAAATGTATTAAGCATAGAATGTTACAATTGACAAGGATCACTTTCCTTAGGAATTCAATTTAAATTCGTGTTTAAACACGTGTTTCAATGAATTGGAAAATTAGAACAGCGAAGGCTACGTTCCATTTGCGGTTTTATCGTTGGTCACGAGCTACACTTCGGTGCAATCTGGCGAAGCGCGGCAGAAAATTCTCGTGAAGGTCCCTTTTGTGTCCCTCGCTCCGCTCCGATCGACGACGTCGTTATTTCGCCCGGTCACAGGCCACTCTTCCTTTCTGCTTTTCGAAGCCGCGAGTACATGGCTTCCGCTTCTGGTATCGACTACCCCAATCTCCCAACTTGTCCGCGCTGCTTCGATTAAGTTAATTCCCCGAACCACCGCGGTTGTTTTTATCAGAAACTTTACCGGAGAAAAGGGAGCCTTGGTGACAGATCGGTCCAGAAATTGAACGAGCTTATTATTTTAATCTTAAAGGATGAGACAATTCATCTTTGTTCTGAATCTCGCAGATAATTAATTGTCAAAGGAAAACGCTTGCAGATGCTTGGCATCGTATTCAATATTACATTTTTGTAGATGAAATTGGATAACATTCTTAACTATTTAATACTCATTTATTTTAATAATTATTATTTACTAAATATTTCATTTTTTATTTATGTGCTTACCGATTCTTGGATAGATTGCTAGCTTCCTTTTCTCCGGGTCCAATTCTTTTTTTATTTGTTTCACGATACGAATTTGATCTTGCAAGCGCCTGCACAGTTTCAGTTTTTCGAGATATAGCAGAGGGAATGGGATCGATACAAGCTTTTACGCAGTTTATAGTAGCTGCAAGCTGCGTTCATCAACGTGATCATTGTTCGCAACAGGATGTCTTGGTTTTTAAGTAAAATTCTGTATTCACAACCTTTGTCTCGCGTTTGTTCATTATTGGAATGTTAAATCTGTTTCACTTTGTTTAGTGATTGTCCTCCGTTGATTTTTTGAAAGGCAGTGGAGTACAGACTTTCAGAATTCGGATGATTTGAAAAATCTTTAATTAAAATTGCGAATGAAAACGACATGTTAAAAGTATTTTTATTAGATAAGATCAAATGAATTTCGTAGATCGATCAAAGGAGTATTTAAAATCAGAATTTTGGTTAATTATCGAATCATTTCTTGGACTCCACTGCTTTTACACATGATTCTTCTCGTTACGTTAATCTTAATCCTAAATGGATACATCGGTGAAATGTTTGTTATTGCTGTATTTGCTCATTCGCTCGTTATAACTACATAACAATATATATTATCTTAAGATAAGCGAATAGAAATCAAAATCTAATGATAATTCTCAACAAGATCAGACGGAAATGAAAAGAGGAAATAGAATCTCTCAAGTGCACTTAACAGCAATTCAATTATCAGCTTATTTTTTGTGTCGAATAGGCAAAGCGCTTTTGTTCCCCCGTTATCAAGGCATCAACTAAAATGAAACAGCCGACTTTAGAGCAATTTAATTCAGGATTAATGTTTCATTACTCGGCTTCCGTTCCATAAGCGCCACTCAACCGTCTATATATTTACGTTCTCATTCTCTATACTACGTTCGTTTGAATAGATTCTCATTTTCCAGAAAGTCTACAAAACTCATCAGAGAAACGCATTTTTTATTCAACCGTAATATATCATTGTCATCTGCGGTAATGAGCAAAAGTTTTTCATTGATTAAATTTTTCTTTTATTCATTGAAATGAGGAGAATTGAGATAAAACTTTTAGTCAAGAACGATCTAATCAGAACTTTCCAACGTGCTTAATTCTGATAATCGAAATTAGAACGAAATACCGATTCTCTGTATTTTTAAAAATGGCAAGAAACTAATTTCTTAAGTAGGCGATGTTCTTGATCGATTCTCGAATGGAAGATACGTGCGTCGACAAAATTAAAGCTTTGGGAGGAAGCTCTTCTGCTAATCCTCTTGTTATAATTCTATACTAGCTTGATGTCAGTTCTCCTTTAACGTGTCTCGTCCGAACCACTTTTGGAAGAAATTTTAATCCTCGAAAGTCCCTTTTTACAATTCTCCGTAGCTACAATACTTGAACATACTCACAGTTAACCTGTTCCGAGTTCGAGTAACGTTTATTTGTTGCCTCACTTTGTAGCACCTGTAAAAGTGTTCTTGTTACACTTCACTGAATTCGTTAGAACCTACAACAATCTACACTATGTAATCTCAACAATTTTTCACTTTGCTTTTTCCTATAATATACATCTTCACTTAAACTTTCACAAACTGGCTTAGTGAAATGTTCCTCGGTCCACATTACAATTTATTGAATTCTATCTCGCTTAGAGTCTCGACAAGTTATAGTAGAATCTTGCCTAGCGTTCCTCAAAGAATCAGATCTTGGTTCATAGTTCACTCACAAACTATCAACAGAGGATGAAAACTTTTTAGAATCAAATTGGATTAACTAGTTCCCTCTAAGCCTCACTTTCTGAAAACTGACTCTATGATCCAGTCCAACAACTTTTCGGAATTGAATTCGACCTAAGCTTTCACAGAAGTTTCAGTAACTCGTTTCAAACTCATCGGCCACTGTTATTCACTTCTTGGAAGTCTCCGTTTTAAACTCTTGTGACAGCTATCCCCGGTTTCCCGGGGCCGAAGGCCTACCTGGACGGCCTCCACGACTGATTCCCGTACTTGCAGAGTAACACCTTCTTGAAAGCCTGCCGGAAGACCTTGTTGAAGATCGTATAGAATATCGGGTTCACCATCGAGCTGGCGTAACCCAGCCAAGTTGCGATATCAAATATCTTCTTGTCGATCCGTTTCTCACAATCGGGACACACGGCTGGTACCAGGTTCAGTATGAAAAACGGCGCCCATAAGATGACGAACGTAAAGAAGACCACTCCTAATACTTTCGTGGCTTTCTGTTCGAGCCTGATTATTCTTCCGTGGCGTGAACTGTTGCGTGAGATCACGCTGCTTGTTCGAGAATGATGAGTGCGTACCTGACCACCGGAATATCTGTAAGGGCAGGGCGATGACGAATTGCTGCTCTGTTTCGAGCTGATGCTCGCTGCACCGTTGTGCGCCCGCATGGTCGCTGCTCTCCTGAAGGGTACTTGCCTCGATGGTAACAACGAGGTCCTCGTGCATCCTGTGGGAATAAAGACAGATTCTAATTTATGTAACGTTGAAACACTAATACACATTTCCTGTTACCAGCGGGTTTGTCAAGGAACTGAAGTCGCGCGAGATGTTAGGAATGTTAGATCAAATGACGTAGAGCGTTCCAATAGGATGCTATTGCCGGAGCTGATTGCGTGTTTAACTTGCTAATTAATTAAGTTGCGGTCTGTGCTCAGATTAACGACTATCAGTTAATCTGTTCAACTACTCCGCTGCTTTATGATAGCCATTAAGCGCGTCTAATAGTACATCAGTTAACAACTGTTTCCCTGAACCAGCAGTTTATCAGTCCATTAAATACAGTTCAGAACTTCGTTACACAAAACTTCAAGCCAAATCTCGAAATTCATCCACAATATCTCGAAATTCATTCACAATTTATAGTAATCATTCTAGTCAAATTTTTAATTGTTTCTCTCCATAAATCTGAATCAATTCTTATAAGTAGATATGCATTTGCAAGAAATATTGTATCTGGAGGAAGTACGTGTAAAGAATGTATATTGCAATGTTTTAAATTTCTTCTGACTGAAATAATAAATGTTTCATTTTGCATAAAAGCTTGCGAGGTGTTCCAGACCAAGATTCATCGATATTCTACATTGCCTTAGTTACTCAGTTTTCTCTATACTCATAAGATCGACTTATTCCTTAGTCACCTACCTAAACTGGATCCTCTCCTCCCTCCTCTCCAAGTGACAATGGAGTTCAGTTCATAACTTCTGCTAGCCTCTATTCTGCTTCTCCCCGCAAACGCTTCGACGTTCTTTCCCGGTTTCGCATCGCTAGTGACTATCGGCGTCTCGGGTTGCGGTCTCTTTGAGGACTCGCCGAAGTGAGGGCAGGTACAAGGCGGTGGAGACTGCGGAGCAATCTCGCTCTCCCGTTTCTCGCTCTTCCTCTCCTCGTTCGATGAATTCTTACCGCAGTGACGATCGAACACCGGTTGCTCGTGGAAGCTGAACGATCGTTTCCTAGGAGTCTTCGGCGAGTTCGATTCCGCTCGCTCCAGGTGAGCCTCGTTGAACGTCGACGCTCGTCGCCGATGCTTCCACGGCGTCGGCGAACTCAGGTCCTCCTGAATCGACAGGCTCGTCCTCGAACCGGAAGCACTGCTACCTCCGCTCTCTCCGCTTCTGGAATGTTTCAAAGTTAGTCTTGCAAAGTTGTCACATTGTTAAAGGGAAGTGAAAGTTTCTGAGATTTATCTTTGTAAGTTTGTATTTAGTTTGTTGTCCATAAATGAAATTGCTAAAACAAAGTGAGAAGTCTTATGGAAATATGTAAACGAAGAACTATTTGAAATTTTATTCCGTGAGTATAGAATGTTGAGTTACATCGAATGAATAAAAAATATTAAATAGAACAGTGTAAGGAATTTGGGGCGTGAAACAAGAATTTGTATACACCGTATAGAGTTATTGTCTGTCTTCTGTCAACGAGTCAAAGAACTAAAGCTTTAAAAAAAAGCTGTTCTGAAAAAAAACTGCATTGAGACCGAGGCTCCTCATTTTTTCCTTTCTTTCTCTCGGTGGGACGTGCAACGTAATGGATCGGGAGAGGTAAAAAAATGCAGGAAGTCGGGACTTCGAGTTAAAAAAGGTCGATGGATGCCGCGTCGTCGCTATAAATCGGACGCATATGAAACGCAGCTGCGCCCGGCCACTTTTGACGCGTTCTATCCATTATTGGAGATCAGTCGGCCATTATTGCTTCCACTGGCTTTCCATCTGCCATCCCCAAAGTCAAAGTCGCCGGTTTTTATCGCCGGGACTCATCGAAATGAGCCGTGGCCAACAGATTAAAATTAAGGGGAATATAATTAAATTGTAGGACTGGAGTGCAAGAAATCTTCAAGTTAAAAGTAATTAGGAATCTCGAAGGGATACAAGTACAATTTCAATTAAGAGTTACGAAGGTTGAAATGAAAACCGATGAGGAAAGAATATTTAAATTGACATTTAAAATAGATAGATTACTTTAAGTTAAGAGTTGTTTTCATATTCCAAAAGTTGTAATCCATATTGTATCTGGTTTCATGTTGCCATTTTTAATAGTATCTTGAAAACGGTTCTGCAATCCTTCCGCCCGAATAATTGAATCGAATGAATGAACGTTGGCTATCGAAAACGAGATACCTATCGATGGAAGAGGAGGGTAAAAAAACGTGGAGTGTCGTTGTGGGCAGAATACGCTCGCGTTTTTGATTTTTCCACCAAACACTCGAGGGTATCTTCAATCAGCCGCATCGGTCGACCGAACGGGAAGACCTTGGTCAACGATCGAGTCGGCCTCGGTAACAATAACCCTGTTCCCAGTTTCAATTTCGAAAGTATTCAACGTTTCTGTTTGCTGTATCGGACCAACATGAAATTTGTGTACATTTTCCTATCTTCAATCTGTGCTCTATAGCAATTGACATTCCTGTTGAATTCTTTTATTGCATTTTTCTCTAACGTGAAAAATAACTCATCTGTTACAGTATAAAACATTGTAATATAAATTTGTGTGATAATCACAGAGAGTTGCATATTCTAAGTAAAGGGTAAAGTGTCTAGTATCTTTTTCAATCTGAAAAACTACTATTTTTATGTTCACGCACGATCGGAGGGTTGGATGGATTCGAGCTATTATGAAACGCCATGAAATTTCAAAAAACAGTAAGGGTGTTATTCGAGGAATTTCTGCAATAATGAAGTTGCCTGGGGAGAATAAAAAGCCGCATCGATGAAGAATCTTCGCTTGGTGGTATCGGTACTGTATTTCGTTCACCGTTATTAAATAACTCGATGACCGTTATCGAAATCTGAACATTTTTGGTCATAAGTATGGTCCACTCCTATAAAGTGGTATCGAACGTTATGCATAATCGACATTCCATTTTTCAGGATAAGTACCAAAGCCTCTCGTAGAAAAACTACATTTTAGGTTTTAATTAGCAAAATGGAATCAAATAAAGGAAATTCTTTTTCCAATCGGTAATTATGGTCTCCACGCATTTTCATAAAAAATATGGAATGTTTCTAAAAAAAAAAATAATAGGAGAAACACGTGAAGGGTCAACTGTAAAAGTTGCAAAGGTCGATCCTCCGTAAGGAAAGCCATTATACACTGCGGTTCTCCCGGCTGAATTGCACTTAACCAGCAGCATTCAAAGTGCAAAACGGGCCCGGTGGATGCCCGTCGTGGCACTTAAATAAACTGCTCTTCTCTCGTCTAATAAAGGAATGCACTTAGTCGTTTCCACAAAGGATTCTTGTCGCAGGTTCGAAGCCGGGACTTCGCCGGTCTCCGCGATGCGACCCGTCGCTTTGAATACTCTCTTTGAACGTTCGCAACTTCACGAGAACTTGGAGCTTGGCTTGGTAATTGTCCTGGAAATGCCTTTTTCCACACACCTTTCCTGTCAAACATTCCTGTCTTTATGTTAATAGAAGGGACAGAGATACCATTATTTGTACTATGCATGTGTCTGTTAATTATTAATTCGACGTCAATAAGATATAAAACTTTTCTAATGCATGTCAAAATCTACTGTGATAACTCTTGAACTGCCTAACGAAATTTTATACTATTAGCATTCAATCTTCATTGACGAGATTTAAGAAATTATTTAAAAACTGTCTACTTCATGAAACGGTTCATACTTTGATAAAAGACATGATATTACTCTGAACTAAAGACACAATTTTCTCTCGGTCACTTGCAACGCCTTAATTACGCATTCACAATGTAAGAAGAAACTTGTAATAGGGATACTGTCCATCCATCTTCTGTCTCTGGTTTGACACTTTTCCCTCCTCGTTGTTCATTATTCCCGCAAACTTACGAGGTCCCCGTAACCGAGGATAAATTCTCTCATCAATTTTTGCCCCACTCGAAAATCCGGGAAAATCCTGACTGGTGGTTCCCACGCGTTCGGTTCGTTGTCAGTGTGGAACCGGTAACGAATAGCCAATCTCCGTGAATGGAATAACGTTCCACGGTTTCCCGACGATGCTTACACGTCGTTCGGGCGCTGGGGAGTAGATCAGGAGATGACGACGATGCCTAACGTGTCGACCTCGAATCGAAATGAAACCTGCCAGAACTTCGCTGTGACGATCTCTCATGCCGTTTCCGCTGGAATTCCTCTGCCCATCGATTCAACGAGTTTGTCGTTAAATTGTTGCCCCTGTGTTTCTCGAACTTGTCTTCCGACGAAGTCTGGAACTTGCATTCGGGCGTCACGTCGTTCGACAGTCGAATTTCATTTTTGTATAATTTGAAAATTCTACGGAATTTCAAGTCTGAATATGTTTTTAAACAATTCTTATCTTGGCCTCGACGAATTTAAACGAACGAAGAGATGAAGAATGCAGTTGGAAATTAATTTTGTCTCCGAAATTCTGCGTTTCGGTTTATCAGATAAAAATCGTGTTCGATTCAATCGGAAGTATCGCCGTAGCCAATTTCCAAGGAGAATACGAGAGACGAAAATACGGGAGGAAATATTCCAGGGCCGTCATAAATCTTTTCGCGATCCTCTGAAGGGACCGCGAAACGCGTTTCGCAAATCGAGACACGATCCTCTACTCTGCACTCCAGGGAGTACTCCGAACGCATTCGCCGTGATGACAGTTGTTTCGAACCGATGTCTGGATTCGAGAATTGTCAGAATCAAGCAATCTTACGCCCACCATTTTTATTTAATATAAAATTGCGGCGTCAATTTCGAAAATGAAATCTATAAATGATGGATGAGACAAATTCCTACCTATTTTTCGAATCAGAAACGTTCTGATATAAAAATCAGCAGTGTGTACGTAACGTAAAAAATTAGGAACGAGGAAAGTCCATTAGCAACAAATTTTATTAAACACTCTTGGGAGGAAACTTTACCCGTGGCGAGAACTGCACTGTTGCTGATGATGCTGGACCGAGTGTTGCGGCGTGGATCTCGGCGTCCCGGTGGGCGTGGGGCTTCCAGGACTCGCGATCCCCTCGAGGCCCCTGGACAATTTAAGCATCTCGGCGCCAAAGGCGTGAAGCGCGGACATGGCCGATGGTGGCGGTTCGCTCTCCGGAAGCCAGAGCTCGTGGGTGTCCAAGGTCGTCAGCTCTGTATCTGTGGAAGTACCGGAAGTGTGCTGCGGCGTGCCGCCGCTTCCGGCCGAGCTTTTGCTCAGCAGAAACCGCTTCCACGTGCCTCGCCTATCCAACCCTGAAAACAACCAATATCCCCACTCGTCAATGATCGCGTCTATAGCGAAAATATTGATTGATCCAAGGAAAATTATCTAGCTTTCATTATTCGCTTTAATGTATAATTGTAAAACCGAAAAGTAAACGTGGTCTGGAGTTTGTATAAGTTTTAGTCGATCCAACGTAGTCAGGTATTAAAGGAAGCACGAATCGCTGTAGTCTTCAGGGACCAATATATTTCAGCAAATATAATTATGCACTAACTAAGTCCGTTAAGTATCAGAACTTCCGGCGTAATGTATAGTTTGGTTTGGACTTTTACGCGTTCTTGTTATCAACTGCCATAACTCGTCGATATTCTGAAAACTGTTCACTCGTCATCAGACAATTTCGTTCTGATTTTAGTCGACGTTTCTTATTAGGGATTTTGAATTCCGATTTGGGCCAAACGTATCCTTGTATTCCTACGAGTTGGAAGTTTGGATTGAGTTCCTGTGTTAGTAGAATGCGCAGGATTATCGAGATATTTGCGCTGGGAATTGAATTTTTATCGTTATAAAAATGCCTATGTTAAAAGTAAATTCTTTTTATTATTATTAGTATTTTGATTCAGTCTTTTAGCATTCCGGTTTATGTAAGATAATCGTTTAAAAATCAATTTATATTTACTATGAAATATGAATTTGAACCAGTGAAATATAAATTCTAAAATGATAACGTTGGAGCGTTCGTGAATCGTCCGTGGAGTAATTCAGGAAACCAGTAAACCGTGACAAAAAGTAACAACTGTACAATGGTAAGTTCCGTGGTCTGTATGAGTTAAGAGGTACAAGAAACAGGGAACAACAGCGTTTCGGTTCGCCAGTTTCGTTTCTGGCCCCGTTTGATTTATGTCCGCAGCCGGGTACCGCCCATTCTGAATCTCCTGTCACTCTTATGCCTGTATTATTGATTAATTTCGCGGAACGATTATTCGGAAGCGTCCTTTTTAGCATATCGCGTCACGTTCGGCACGGGGACTTTTGCATAATGGGCTACGGATTTGCATGACCCCTGCATCGTTGCTCGCCAACTTTCTTATCCGACAAATGGCCGTTCATAAGATATCGAAATAAGTGACAGAAAATTTTTCCAGTCAATCTTATAAAGACACTTATTAAAAGTACACAGTACATAGTTAAGAACAGAACTGAACACTTTTTTAAAGTCAGACCAAACGACCTGTGTTCTTCCGAGTAATGCTAATTTGGATTAATTCATCAAACAAAACGTGAGACATTTGCATTCGTACATACTGTATTTCAGAGTTTCATCAAAGTTTTCGCAAATCATGTTTCACTTATGAGAAGCAAAGGTAACGAACATAAGATTGATGTGCATGAGTTAACGACACGATTTTTACAGAAGTGCATTGAAACTAAAATTACCGGAAATGGACCGTGTAATCGTAAAGGCTGTAGTATTTTAGTTGAATCGTGGAGAAATTGTGAAGATCGCGATACGATAAAACTAAATTGCTATCGAATCACGAGATTTCTCGTAATTGCGTCGGATAGGACATAACGCGATGGGCGGCAGTTTCGATCGGCGATAAAAAGCTGACCGAACTATGAGAATTATGACGGGGATAAATCGGCGTAAATTTCAGCCAATAATAGAGCGTTCAGTGAATCAAACTCCTTTCCTTTTTTTACTTACAAGAGAGAAGGCATTTTATTTGATTTGCGAGTGTGCTCCGAGCAATTTGCATGTCATTGCCGCAATCGTAATTCCTTGAATGTCTTCTTTAATCGTTTATGATACCGCGGAATTAGTACCCGGATTTCCCTGTTTCTACGTTAGAATTGCAAAACGTATGAATTTGCGTACCCGATTTGCAAATGTCTATTTAAAATTTAGAGATATATAAAACGTGCATTAGCAAATAGACGAGGATGTAATATTATTAAATAAGTAGAAAGACGGATATGGATTAATTAAGGAATGTTTGAAAATTCGCTTCGCTTCTTGGAACCACGTCTATTTTCACATATTAACTGTCGCGTATGATATTTGATGCCTCGGAGGTTGAAGTATCGATCCTCCCTGATTTTCAAATTCAGCATTCATTTCACCACCAAAATACCACTGTCATCCATTACGTATTTCAAACCAGTTTTGCCATTTATTTCATCCGATATAACTGCGAATATAGGGCAAAGCTTGACAGTTAATTTCCTTCCTCCGATTCCAAAAGAGGAAAAACAGCAGGGTACATTTTTAAACAAATGTCACAAAAACGCGAGGTAACGTTGAAGCTCTAACGGGAATACGCTTTTAATAAAACTCGCCAAATAGTAAGGGATATTAAAATATCAATGAACAGTTATTTCAATAACTTTTCAATAATATTCCATAACGTCATGAGCATGGAATTAATAAACGAAGTACTAATATCCGAGCCTACGGTTTCATGTGGCAAATAATTCGCAGCAAGGAAAAGTTTGATTTCAATCGACGTACTATGCTAATTTTCTGTACGTAATCTAGGATAACCTGATTCCCGACACTTCTTAACCCGTTACCTTTTGTTTTACGAACGGTTTTGGCGCGCGTTCGCGAAACGCGGACGCGATCAATTTGCAAGTTAAATTGACCGATGCAAATCTTCCAAGTCGAAGGAGGCGTCCACGTCCACGGCCCAATTTACCGTCGTCGTCGCCGCGTTGCTTGAAAGCTTTCGCCAGCTTTCTTCGCAATTTCTCGATGGCTTTCATTGCTGTTTCAGCTGAGACCTTCTCAAGCGCCAAATTACAGTCAAATTTTCCAATTAAAATAAGTTTTTCAATGAAAATTAGAGTATTTTCGAGTCATGAATCGAAACAATTTTAAAGTATATGTCAAATCCTTTTTTATTCGTACGACGATGTTACGGAAAATCAAATATCTTTCGGAGACACGTTTGTAAAGTGTTTTACTTTATGTTCGTATCGAAGATGTATTGAATTTTCCACCGAATGTCACTCGCGTTTTGCAATTTGCTTGCTATTTTAGAGTCTCATTGGGGACAATTATTAGACCTGACCTTATCGCGTCGATTTTTCTTGTTTTGGCCCGGTTGCTCCAGTTTCCCGTGTGACGGCCGCGCGGAGCCTCACTTTAGAGCTTTTCAGCCGAGAAAAGAAGAGAGATCAATTTCTTTTCTGGTGAAGGAGGCTGTGCATCGGCGAACAAAGAAGGGGGCCGGTCAATCTATAGAACTCTTAATCGCAATCTCCGCCGAATCGGGCCGCGGCAAAGGCCGGGAAACCATTCATGGATTACACCGAAATTCCCTGTAATACCCTGCTCTTAGGGAGCCCACCCCGATCGACGAGGCACGCCAACTGTACCGGTTGCGGATGCTATTCGCGTTTTTTACATGCTCCTTTCGATTCCTCCTCCCGGCTTTGATTAAAAATCGTCCTGCTCTCCACCCTCGCCTTCCTTACCCTAGGAATACTGACTTTGATCCTCGCCGCAATGAAATCCACTTCGATTTCATCGTATCGCGTTCCGACCACTTCGTTTTCCTCACGTCCTAGCATTTTCAATGCGAAAATAATCTCGCGGTTTATTAATTATATTTACGAAAATTTCATATAGATACTCCCATTCTATGTGTATTTTTAGGAAATTATAGAGAAATCTGTACAATTTTAAACTAGTCCCTTTTCTAAGAATTATTGACATTTTTCTAAAACTAGAACTCTGTTTCTGCTAAATCGGGTATAATAACTTGCTTTGTTAGTTTTATCTTAAGGAAGCGTGTCACGAGACACAACTTTGACGTTTCATTTCTGAGGTGAAACGCAGAAAAGCTTCTTTCGCTGGAGATAACATTCTGAACGAACAAAGAAAACGAATAATTCTTGAGAGAGTGTACTAAATGTTAGAAAAACTTAGAAAATTCAGATAGTCTGTGCTTTGATAAGAAAGAAATACAGTAACTCCAGAATGTTGTTCTAAATTATTCAGTTTGCTTTATAATTTAACGAGTGGTGTGATGAACGATAAATTATGACGAATTGCAAATTCTTAGTCTCGACGGAGATCTGTCCAGCATGTGAAAACTATGGTAATGTGGCAAACTGTGAAATAGAATTATCCTAAAGTGAGATCGATTGAATAATCTCTCAGGAGTAATTATAGTCTCGAGACAACTTTATCATTCTCATTCACACCGTATCTAATTATGATCATATACTCAAAACTACAAAATACTTTAGTTAATTTACTCATATATTTTTTACTTAATCAAATAAAATATTTAATTCTTATATCACAGAAGTTTCTGATATTATGGAAGAGTTTCTCTCGCGTGAAATCTTCACCGGAAAACAAAACATAAACCTGTTTGAAACGCGACGGAACTTTTTCTTCCTGATCAACTTGGAAAATAAATAATCTTGAGGCGATTATAAAGTTTTTACAGTCGATGGGGTAACCGTGAGTCAAGAGCTCCTCTCTTAGTATTAAAACTTCCCGTTCGTCCATTGTTCAATCCGTTACGTGCACTTTTGTAACAAACATAGCCCCCTGCTTCTTGCGAGTAACGCGTTTAAGCAAAGTAAGAGCAAGCAAAGCGAAGAGCCTTGCGAACTTCTCTCGGTACACACAATGAAATATTGAATTTCCTTCTGCTTTGGATTTGAACCCGCCTAGCTTTGTGAGAAAATTCCCACCTCGCGTCTGGTTTTCACTCTATGATTCTTCAAGAAATAAAACTCCGATATTTTAGTACACATTTGATTAAAGTGTCCGGGTCGGAGATATTTATTTGCTGTGAATTCAATCGTTTTCGAAAGAAAGTAGGCACAGATATTTTCACCAATATTTATTTCCGTGCACAATAAGAATATGAAAGGTAGAGGAGTTACAGAATAGACGTAAGTCTGAGAAGGGTAGACAGTATATGGAGACAGATATGAGGTGGATGATCCAATCGCGAGTGTGACGAGTCAGTGTACCTGATAATACACTAACCTCCGGGTGGTGGGCCCTGCGGGCCACCCAGCCATCCGGAGGACCAACCTGCTGTGGCTCCTCCGATATTCTGCTGCTGCTCTGCCAGCAGTCGCACCGTCAACGCGTACGTAAGCAGCATCACACCCAGCGGTATGTAAAAGCAGATTATGCTGCCGATCAACTTGTACAGCGGATCTGGTATCTGACAAGCACCGTCCACCAACACCGAGTCGTCCTCCTGAAACAGTAAACAAGATTATGCACTTAGCGTAACCGTATCTCGTGATCGATAGAAATGGCGTTCAAAATCACTGATCGTGATCGAGATGCATTTCTGTCAGATTTTAGAATAACTGTTTATCACGTCTGTGCAAATAAAAACTGCATTTGAGTTATCTGAACCAATTTGTTTGAAAAATGAGATGATTCTACTTAATAAACTGTAATTCATTCTCTGAACAGAAAGCTGACGTCTTCTGCTCATTATTTGCTTTCAGAACTCCGGAACAGTGTCCCAGTGTGGTTTCATTGTTGGCAGAGAGTTACAATCCTCATGTAAGATACGGGGCAGCCATGGCATTGGGAATCGCGTGTGCCGGCACGGGATTGAAAGAAGCCATAGCTTTGTTAGACCCGATGACAAATGACTCGGTGCATTTCGTTCGACAGGGCGCGTTGATCGCGTCCGCGATGATCCTGATCCAGCAGACAGAAGCGACCTGTGCTCGCGTGAAGGATTTCCGAGCCTTGTACGCGAAGGTGATCGTCGACAAACACGAGGATGTGATGGCTAAATTCGGTGCCATTCTGGCCCAGGGAATCATCGACGCCGGTGAGCACTTTATTTCATATGTATTTCTCATTTTTGAAATTATCTTACCATTAATATTTATCGTATCAATTATTCTTTGTAATTTTTTCAAGGTTGATAGTCTTCTTAAACACATGCTTAATAATGCAGATAATTATTCATTTAATTGAATGATCTTTGCTTATATCCTATTTTATTCCTCTGCCTTTTTCATTCAGTAAAACATATTTAATAAATCTTTTCATATATTGAAACACAAAATTCCTCATAAGTTGCATAATAAGAATATATTCAATCTGCATGTTGTTACAAAAAAGCAATACAAATCTGATTCTTGATTTTCAAGTGCCCAGATATGCATCTGAGCAAAATAGTTTCGGATGGTTTTTGATTAAAATCGAGATATTGGCCTTACATTTTAATAAGAAGGGACCAATGTTTAATAAGGAATCTTGAGTATAGTCGTAGAACATAGTCAACCGATCCTTTTAACGATACCCGATAAGCTGGCTCTTCGTGAACGGAGGAACATAATACGGGTCGTCGATCAAAGGTCCTTATTGCTGAGTTTGTTCTCTCGGCCAGCGGAAAATAGTGAAATCGAACCTCGGTCTGACGTTTATCGAGCTTGTGATCTGGTGTTATTCCGACTATCCTCGAACGGGTTGATCAGACGTCGACGTGATGTTTTATTGTTGTAGTTTAGGAATTTTTGAGATCACTCTCTTTTGTTAAAAATAAGGATATTTATGTAAATTCATCTTTAATCTTATGAATGGGCGAATATATTTTACGCATAAAATTAATATCAGTATTTATATTTGCTTGCATGTGAAATTCTTAATGATTTTAGGGGGTCGAAATGTGACAGTGTCACTGCAGTCTAGGACGGGACACATGAACATGTTAGCAGTGGTGGGTGCACTGGTTTTCACCCAATACTGGTACTGGTTCCCGTTGGCCCATTGTTTGGCTCTAGCCTTTACTCCTACTTGCTTGATCGTACTGAACGCGCAACTGAAAATGCCCAAGTTAGAACTCCGTTCGAACGCCAGGCCAAGCGTTTACGCTTACCCCGCGCCTCTTGAAGAGAAGAAGCGTGAGGAAAGGGAGAAAATCACCACTGCTGTTCTGAGTATCGCTGCCAAGGCGCGAAGGCGTGAATCCGAGAGGCGCGCCCGGGATTCGCACGAGAAGATGGAAGTGGTTAGTCCATTTCAATCATTCATTAATAAGACGAGTCACTTTTTATAGCAATTTTAAAGAACATGAGAAATACTCTCTGTTATCAGTATTTTATTTATAATGATTTCATTTCAAAATTTAATGCGTCTATTTGAGAATGCAATCCATTATATGTCTTGGCACTTCATTTTTCTGACTTAAAGATAATTCTATGGTACAGTGACTGATCGCAAATTAAGATGAAGGTTAATTCTCTTAGTTTGATTTTCGTTCTTTAACTTTTAATCGCAGGACCCACCAGAGACGACCAAAGAGGTCGTCGAGGCGGCGACCAAAGAGAAAGAGGAAAAGACTAAAGAGAAAGAGGAGAAGGAAACGAAGGAAACGAAGGAAACAAAGGAAACAAAGGAAGTTAAGGAGACGAAGGAGAAAACTGAGAAGAAGGGTAAGGAGGAGGGTGAGAAGACAGTCGAGAAAGAGAAGAAGGAACCCGAGCCGAACTTCGAAATACTCCAGAACCCGGCTCGTGTACTGAGGCAGCAACTCAAGATGATACAGCTCGTCGATGGTAGTCATTATGTTCCCGTCAAAGACATTCAGATAGGAGGAATCGTAATGGTGAAACACGTGAAAACAGATACCGAAGAAGAATTGGTGGAACCAGTCACCGGTAAGTCTCTCATCCTTCTTTAGAATTAAAATTACTTGCTTTCTGTCATTAATTTAGAAGAAAAATTGATTTTGTAAATTGATTTTGTAAAAGTGTTTGTAACACTGCTATATACTGTCGTGTCGTGTTTAATTGTTACAGCTTACGGCGCCCATCCCGAGGAGGAACAAGAAGCGGAGCCACCGGAACCATTCGAATACACTGAAGATTAGTTTAATGGCGTGACAAGAAAATATTCGCAACGCGAGTGTCATTCATTACGCACGTAATTGCTCGCTGTATAGACAGCAATTTTCATTTCGACGAGTAACGTCCGATACTACCTTTCTTATTTTCGTATGATTAACTTAATCGTCGCCGAGTGACCGTTTTATCATCGAAGCGCTGCCTTTGTTTCGAAGTGTAATAAATACATGATTTGCTCTAATGGTACATTTTGTCATCGTTTATTCATACCCTATATCTATATCTGGTGGAAAATAAATAATGTTACACAATTTCATGACTATCTTTAAATACGTTATGAGTTTCATCATTTATCAAATTAACGATCAACTTGTTTTAATATTGACAATTAGTAAACTTAATATTCATTTCATGTGTTTCGATATTTCATATGTGAAATTGGAATAAAGTTCAAGATTTTATATAAAATATTAGAGAATATATTACATTAAAAAATTCTGCACAAGTTCCGCTTGAATTAACGATATAACTGGGATTTAGATCCGTAGCGAAGTCTCATCGATCGCGCCAATCGAAGAATTACACAAAACGTCATATAGGATCAGTATCCATCAATTCCTGAGACGTCTCGATCGGTTAGTCGACTCCTAAAGAACATCTCCATTCATTCGCCTATACTCCTTTGTCGAAATCGTCCCGGCTTTGATGAAATATTGGCGTGTTGCGTGACGTGTGCCTTCATTCGTTAGCCTCGTTTACCTGTGGGGCCATAGTTCGCTCGAACGAGCGAACATCACGCTTGATTCGCCACGTGCGAACGCGAAATACGTGTTAGCACCTGGGAGAAGTGCGAATTTCTCCCCTTGTACTACAATTGACTGTCGATCAATTGGGACACCTAATCTAATTTAAATTCGAAACCCTGTGGTAGCGAAACATCTTTTATGGACATGGTGTTCTGTTAATCAGGACTGTTGGAGCTCAACGTGGATGCAGAGAAAAAGGAAAAAGGTACGTGGCAATATTTGATTCGATCTTCTGCACAAAACCTGGCAAAAAGTGTTCGGAAAATACAGTAACATTAAATATTGGGTAAAAAAATCTGTAAAAAATAAAAATGGAAGAACAATTTATTCTTTTATATATTTTATTGCAAGTAGTATTTTGGGCATTGAAACTTTGTATACTTCGTTTATTGCGTACTCTGAACTTTCCGACAGGGATTGTGCTGTAGTTTTGGTAACGCCATTTACACACGAGTATCATAAATTATTAATTTCATACGCTACACGTTAGAGGCAATTCGGGTATCGTGTGAAATTCGCGGGAAATTACCATTCGAAATTCGAGTTTGCACGCATCCTCGAAATACGCTACGAAAATTCGCGGCCGCGGTTGGTTGAGTACGATGTATGCATATCTAACCGTGAAACGGCTCTCGTAACCAATTGTTCCTGCATGCGAAGTCTCAAATCAAACGTGTCCGACCATCTGTGAGACTCTGTTAGTTAAATTCGATCCTCGTTTTCACTTTAAATGATAATGAACCGCGTGTCCAATGAAAACATTCACAACTTCCTCGTCCACGTGGCTTTCGGCGATGCTATTTCTTGTTAAAAAAAATTATGAAATATGAGCCGATCCTGGAATGAAAGTTACCAAAACTTCAGAAATATGTTATACTGGTAACGGAGGATCATGTCTTTCAAAATCGTTCTCGTTCGCTACGTTCGCCCGTGGGAAACGAACTTCCGGAAGACGAGATTCCGTAACTTTACTTTGAATTATTCTTACGATATCCGGACACGAATTCCGTGAAAATGCAAATGCGAAATTCCTTAAAATGTTGCCGGTTCTCCGTCGGAAATTCGACGGTTCTTTTCAAATTCTTTTTATGGATAATATAAGAATTTGGATATACAAATATTTTTTTATACCTTTATATCAATTCCCTGTGAACTCTTTCTTATTCGAACTCTACCAGTTTTTGTTATCTATTTCCGTAAGAAAGAAAGCGTAGGTATAAAAAATTTCTGGAATAAAATAGCTGAAGATATTGGGTTCTACTATATTTCCCGAAGTTGTTTTAATGGCTAGTTTTCTGCACGCGTTTATTCAGCTCCTCTAACATTGGGGAACATAAGTAAGGGGAAAGAACTGTACGTTTCGTGCTGCACGAAAACAGCATAAAATGCCTATCAATGGTCTAATAAACGAGCTACTGGCAAGTAAATGCTGCCTAATACACTTCCAGCAGTTCCTCTCCTCTCTCGCAACCCGGATATCTTTAATGGCTACTTTTAACATAATTCGTATCGGCTACAAATTCAGTCAATTACATTCACATTACCTGTTCCTTTATACACCAAAAAATAAAATAGCCAAAAAGAAGAATAATGATATTTAAAACTTAGAAACGTCTGTAGATTTATATTGACTAAACTTCCATTGCCATCATTTTTTTACCTCTTTAAAGGGAAGCGATGATGCATCAGTATTTTTTTTCAATCAATTTTATATGAAATGATAATATCGAAGAAGGAATTTCAGAAAACAAAGTCCCCGAGTTCATGACGATACTTACAGAGCGCTTCGGATAAACGATACTTAAATACAAATACCAATGCATCGGATAATTTCCATGATATCCCAAATCGATGCACGTTTATTCTTTGCAGACCCCACCGTGCAGCCGCGATTCGTATCAGAGAAAATAGCTCCTAAATTACAATATTCATGGTACGGCATTCCGATTTTTTTTCTTTCTTTTTTAGAAGCCACGGATATTTGTTCGCGTTCATGGTACCGCGCATTTACTACGTTTCAACGCAGATATTCGTACAATTCGCTCTGTGAACATGCACAATCGGAATTTTTTCCTCTGCCGCGTGCCTTTATTTTCAACCCGTTCGAGATATTTCATCATTAATTCTTTACAACTAATTAATTTAATCAGAAAAATGAATTAATAGTAGGTCAGGCTGAGTTTATTTTTAATTATCTTACCACAGTATTTCATCGTTAAACACAACTAATTAGCAACGAAAATTTTTAATGTGAGAAATGCACTGGGAAATCGTAATTCGAAAATTAATATCTCACCTTGGAGTACATCAGACTGAGTGGCAAGCTCATCGCGATGCTCAGGATCCAAACGAAAAGTATTTTCAACGTGACCCGCCTCCTAGTTTTGTTACGGCCGAATTTCATCGGGTAACGTAGGCTCAGGTAACGGTCCACGCTTATGGTGCACAGATGCATGATACTGGCCGTGCAGAATAATACATCCAGGCAGACCCACACGAGGCAGTAAACCGACGGCAGGGGGAAATATCCTGCAATAAAAATGGATATTCTTTATGTAACAAAATATCAAACATTTTTACAATTCTTCAGTGACAACACAATACAATGTTTTATAGCTTCATTCTTTAGCTATCGGAAAATTATATAGCATATTTATCAGAAGCTATGAAATTTGTTTGATAGCCAGTGTCTCATTGCTAGTCAGGAAATTCATCTCCACATTAAATTGATTTTTATCAGAACAGAGTTTCAAGTAAAAAAAATAATAATATCGCAAATAGGTTCGAATAAAAATAGCAAAAACGCGAACGCAGTCTATGGCCGGTATTCATAGTCGTTACTTTTAAGATGGTCTTCAGCATTTCCTATCCCCTGTGTTGTACAGGCAACAGGGACTTAAGCAGATGCTTAAGGCGATCTTAAATATAAGTAACGACTCTGAATACAGGCCTACGTGTAATTGGCGCGAGTACTCGAAGCGAGGTTTTATCTCGAAGTCGGGATGTTCGGTCTGGCCAAACTTGGAATATTTGGCAAGCAATTAGGAAGTTTGGTGCGGGTATCGGGCGCAAAAAGCGCGATCTACGACCGGTCGTGGATTGATCGGAATCTGATCGGTGCAAAGCACGTGTGTGATTTCGCATTCCGTGTTGGGCGAGAGAATTTCCGTCGAGATCGGATTTCCGGGCTCGCCCGACGCGCGAGCATCGTTAACGCGACGGCCTGACACTTTGCGTTCCGACCTATCTGTCTGAACTTACCCGGCCACCCCGCATTTCCTACGTCCGACCCTTCGTAGTCCTCGCCACCGCGGGCTACTTTATTTCCAAGCGGCACGTGAACCGAAGTAGCACGGGTCAACGATGGGTCGCACGAAAGGAGAAACTCGTTCCTGGGTTCCGCCGGTAAGCGATTCTCCACTCCATTTTTCTTAGTTTCCGTTAGTAGTTGTTTAACCCATTTGGATCATACGCTATCATAAAAATGGCTAGAAATATTTCATATGATGATTGCTACGTCGCTTAAAATATATTTCATACAGTAATCGATACAGCGAATTGATACACCGTTTGATATCATATAAACAGAATCAATAATAATTTGTTATACAAAATAATGTATTCTACATACAATTTTAGATGTACGCGATAGTAACTCGAGTGAATTACGTTATCACGCGCGAGAGGACACCGTAACTCTCTCGTTATCAGCGCAGGGAGAGAGGCACTGTTCGATCGTGTTTTTCTTTTTTCAATTTTAATAATCCCGTCGCGATAACCGCGAGCCAGCAAGCGACCGCATCGTAAGCAGCTTCTTAAAATTGCGGAACAATTTCCTGCTCGAGAGGTTCGCGGTAACTGGATTCGAAAATTCCAAGCTAACTCCTTACCCAGTAGCTGCTACTACGAAACTCGCTAGATGGTTTTCGGTATATTTCGGTATCTAGGAATCACGGCTGCGTTCAAATTGCCTTTGGAATTTAAAAAATGAATTACAATCATAGAAACTACCCTTGAGTTAAAATTGGTATCTAAATATTTAGAAACTGTAACCGAGGATCCGATTGAAAAGAAAATAAGGAAAAGTTTCACATATTTTACCATTATAAAGTATTATTACCGTAATATTTCAATTTTCCTGAAGCAAAAGCTGTACATACATTTTCAGAATTTATTTGCGTCCGTGTATCCTGTTCATACGAATGTAGAATGCATACTTTATAGCCCCTGATTTACATACGAATCGGGCAGCCAGTTTTAACAACCACGTGCAAACTGGCAAGCTTCGAATAATTGTTTCTCAAAATTTGATACGTATAATATACTGGCACCGAGATAATTTATTACCCGTTAACCATCGTAAATCAACGGTGGGACAACTTTCGAACCAACTAAATGGCCCGATAAAAACCGTGTACGTGTGCGCGTCGCGGGCTTAATTTCCCTTCGACGTATTTGTTTTTTATCGCGGCACGAGAGCACCTATATGGTCGTATTATAATCGGCACGCTAGACGTCGTTTATAGCGTGAGTGAAAGTATTTACGTATGTCTTTGAACGCTGTTAGCCCCTTGAATTATAGGCCAAAGTAATGCGAGCTTATCGGTCCCAGCGGCCATCTTATTGTGCAATAACAAATAACGGTTTCGAAAATAATCCAGCTAGAAAAATTTCAGATCACGCTGTTAACAGATGAATCCAAGCGGATAAAAAACAAAATACAATATAATGCGCTTGCACAAATACCACCGTTATGGAAAGTTGTACCAACAATTTTTTCCCACGACTGTCGTTTTTCACAAATCAGTAAACAAAAAAATATGTATGTAAAAGCGGCTAGCAATGGGCGGTTCGCGTGGCTACTTTTTTTTGTTTTTCTGATTCCAGTTAGCATCGCACAGTTGCTTTAACCGAGAGCTTTGCAAATCCGCTACAGGATTCGGCGCGCGTTTCGATCCGCGGCAAGACCGCGTGGCTGCTCGTTTATTTTTATTATCACGGCTCCACTTTGTCGACTCCGGCCCCGTAATTAGAGGCGAACGATAAATTCGACGAACAGTTTTCCTTTACGAGAGCGATATCATTAAGCGGATGGCCGTCTCTGCGAAAGAGCGCGTGGCGCGTTTAATTTTAACGACGCGATGGGACCGGAACGGTGACCCGCCACGCGGACGTGAAATACAAAAGAAAACGCGATTTATACATCCCAGACACCGTCCCAGTTGCTTCGAATAAACAAACATTTTACCAGAGATAATTAGACGAATTTTTGATGGAATTTTCTGCCAGCTGAGATAGTTGAAATAGAAATGTGAAAGACCGTGAATTCTTTCTACACATGCTTTATCTGCATAATAGTCATAATAATAATGATAATTTATATAATTTATTATATATGTGTGTCTATAGTTTAACGTTTAAATTGAAATTGTGGAGGTAAGTAGGGAAAGGTTGCAATGATTTCATGTACAATTACGTTATTATACTCATATCATTATCATGAATATTTAACTCAAAATTAAAATTAAAGTAAAGCAAAATTTCAACATAGCCTGGAAACATTAATCGCACCGCGGTAATTATTCAAAACGATCGCCCCTGATTTCGCGTTGTTTCCGGCATGCCGGCATTGTGGACGCAAGATTAATCGAGCCAATTTGAAACGGTCAATTAAAGAGTCGATTGTTCCCGTAATGATTTATCGGCCAGTTTTTCCGATTTTCTACTGCGCGTTCGTATGCACAGACAATAATTATTATAAATAAATAATAATACACAAAATATAAGCATGTTAAAAAATATGTATGTATGTAGGAAAGTCTCTTTTTTCCAATTCAACATTATTTAAATAAAATAATATCATCTTTTTTTTTATGAAACTTGGGAACGTTTTTCATTAACCACATAGTCAAAATTTGGTTGAATTTGTTGAGCTGTATTTTAAAAATTGCTTGCATATGTTTCTCTGTTAATCTTGATCTTTCCGCATTTTTATTATTTTTTAAGTGGAAAATAGTTATTCGCACAAATTTATGCTACCGGGCATAAATCCAGTGTTGTTAAAAGTTAAATAAACGTTATCATTCTTGGCCGCGTGTTTTACATGGCTGATATACGGAGATTGGTTTTAGCGAAACCGTTTCGATAGAAATTTACACTTCTGCCAGGTCAATCAGTGAAATAAGTGATCCACAAAGATTTTCTAATTATTTAGGGTTCGCGTGTATTTTCAGGACTTATATAGACCGTTTCGTGGTTACGTGCGAGGGGTTAGTGAATTAAAATTCGAACGAGGTTGTAAAACACACAAAACTCTCGGTCTATGCATCCGCGTAAATCCATTAGGATCGGAACTACGGACGGTGGAGGCTTACCGCGTTAAATTGGGCAACGGCGCGCAAGGTTCGCTCGGTTCCGCAGTTTCGTCTCCGGACGCGCAGAGGCTTGTTTGACAAGCGTCGTAACTTTGTTACCAGCTGGCACAGGATAACGCGATAAACCCTACGATTTTATACCGCCGCGCGTTACGTTCGTTTGTTTAGATAACTTCATAGCCACGCATTTCAAGATCAGAAATCAAAGATCGAATGTATTAAGGATGTATTAGCTATACAATCAGTCCCAAAAGTTAATGTACTTTAGAAAAACGCATTTCCTATAATTAAAAAGAAATCAGACGTCGAAAGAATAATGCTAATAATAAATAGCTACGTGCTAAAAAGTATAGAAGGAAATATCCAATTAANTTCAATATGTTAGCATTGTTTAAGTGTATAGCCTATACATCCTTAACGCCGACAGTGCGACATCATGACTCTATCGTCAAATACTTTATTACACCAGTTTCTCATATTTTAATGTTCGAGCATTTTTTCGCGGTAAAATCCAGATAATAATTCTGGTCAAAAAACGATGCAATTTGCAGTTTGCATTTACGTGATATAATTTGAAAGTACGTTGAACAAATGATAAGGAAGGTGGAAAGAAAATCGCATTCGTGACGGCGCGCGGCGGTAGAAAAAAGGCGAAATCTATTTTTAATTGCGCGGGGTCGTAATCGATATCTCGCGTACGGCGCGCTTTATGATCCACGGCTGGCGTACGATAAATTCGCCCCTGGTTTTGACGGAAGACAATACATAAAACCGTCGATCAGGGTCGGAAACGATCCGGTTTCTTTCCCTCTGTTTCCGTTCCTCTCGTTCCTTTTTATCAGGCATTACTCTTTTTTTTTCTATCCCAACGAACAGTTTGATGGATCGTCGCGGGCACAATGGGCTTGAAAGGGTTGAAGGGATCCTAAAATTTATCGAACGGGTAAATTGGCGCGAGTTTCATGTCGGCCAGACGTTCGTGGAAATATATTACAAACAGACACACGCGATTGAACGTCGCTGGGTTAAACGTAAACAGGAATTTAATATCGCAAATTTGATCTCGATGTATCTTCTGATTAAAATAATGATTCGGAAGTAAATAACTGTGTCAGAAAAGTTCAGTGTTCCACGCGTTGGGCGACGGATTTTCCG